ATCAATCTGGTCTATCTGTTTGCTCTTTGCTATACAATCTATACTTGACACTGTACTATTGTTTGTTGCTTGTTAGTTGTCTAAGTTGTTATTACATGTGTTAAATAAAATATTTATTGAAATAATAAGTGAAAATAATAAAAAAAATTAAATCACTTATTACAACATAGTTATTTGGTCTAGCTGCTATCTTTAATTCATTTATCATTTTATAATCCTCCTCTATCTTTTAAATTGTACTTCCAATGTACATCAATCCACAATCACAGATTATAGCATATATCACATTTCTGGTTGCACAAGTGGAGGAAAAAGTTAACAAATTACTGGACCCCCCTGTCCAGGCACAAATTCTTTAATCTCCAGTGCTTGAGAGCAAATCAAGCATTTCCCACAACAGTGGTGTCCTATCAACTCCTCCTCAGCTCTACCTGTGGGATCTGTTCTAGAATGTACCACCAGATCTTTAATGTTCTTTGTTCTCCTGAATCCCACATATGGTGGCTCCTTATCAAATGCCAGTGACAAACTATGAGGATAATAAATTTCATCCTATATCTTCTTGCAATCCTAATATATATGATCCTTGTCTGACAGCATTTGAAAAGGTAGTAAATAGAGATATTGAAAGGGCTGAAATTAATTTTCAAAAATCTTGGAGTAATTTATCAAGGGCAGAATCTGAAGCATTAAAGAGTTTGGCGAAAGATGGGAGCATTATTATAAAACCTGCTGACAAAGTGGGGCTGTGGTCATTTTGAGAAAGAGGGATTATTGTTATGAGGTAGAGGATCAACTAGCGCATAAGGAAAGTTATCTGCCTATAGAATGTGATCCAACTAAACATATAGCCAGATTAATAAAGATTGTTCTTGATGAAGCTGCATCTATGGGATTTAGTGATATGTATGGATTCCTTATGAAGGAACATCCAAGAATCATGGTGTTGTACATGAAAATTTCTTGGAAGTGTCATTGTGGCAGTGGTTCTACAATTGAAGTCACGTGGGAAAGCTGTGGATTGTCCTATCTGTGTGGAGTTTCTCTGTGCCAATGCTAGCCACTGCGTGGAACAGCCACAGTGGCATGGTAATGCAAGTGATCAGGGTGAGTCACATGGCCTTCTATATGGCACCCCAGATGACTCTCATGTATTATGGTCACTGCATGGACATTCCACCATGCAGAAAATATTTCTATGCTGTAAACTATTAATCTGAGCATTGCAAGAACTGGCTTAGCATAAAAACAATTGATCCTTCTGAAAGCATGATTCTAAAATACGCATGTGTGACAGACTACACTTTTAAAAGCTTAGAAGTGCTGTGTAAATAGATAAAAGACTGTGAAGGGTTAATTCTTAACAGAGCCAGAGAGCCTTGAGTTACAGGCTATTCTAAGATATCTGATTGGTTAGCATCAGCTGAGCGGAGAAAGACTTCTGAACTGGATGCTGAGGAGATCTGGATAAGCGTGTGGAGTGGTTACTCATTAAATTTGTAGATGACACCAAAGTGGGAGGAGCAACAAACACACCAGGAGATAGAATTCAACGAGATATACACACACTGGAAAAGTGGGTGGTTGTGAACAAGATGCAAGTTAACAAGGATAAGTTCCAAGTTCTACATCTGGGTAACAAGAATTAGGAATACACATACTGAATAGGGGATACACTTCTGGGTAGCAGTGTGTGTGAACAAGATCTTGGGGTACGGGTGGACCAAAAGTTAAATATGACTGTAAGTTTAATAAGAACTGAGCAGTCTGGTTAGAACAGATAAAAGGAAGTCCTTCTTCACCCAAAGAGTGATGAACACATGGAATTCACTGCCACAGGAGGTGGTGGTGGCGGCTACAAGCATAGACAGCTTCAAGAGGGAATTAGATAAACATATGGAGCAGAGGTCCATCAGTGGCTATTAGCCACAAGGTATAGATAGGAACTCTCAGGCTGGGGCAAGTGATGCTCTGTATTCTTGGTGCTTGGGGGGGGCAACAGTGGGAGCGCTTCTAGTGTCCTGGCACCACTGCTGGACCTCCTGATGGCACCTGGCATTTTTGGCCACTGTGTTGGACTGGATGGGCCATTAGCCTGATCCAACATTGGCTTCCTTTGTGTTCTTATTATGTTCTTATGACCAGCCAGTGTGATGCAGTGACAAAAAGGCTAATGTGATTTTGGGATGTATCAACAAAGGCATAACACCCAAATCACACTGCATTGGTCAGGCAGGCCACACTTGGAGCATTGTGTGCAGTTCTGGAGGCCTCACTTCAGAAACGATGTGGACAGAATGGAGTGGATGCTGAGGAGAGCAACGAGGATGATCAGGGGCCTGGACACCAAGTCCTATGAGGAAAGGCTAAGGGACTTGGAAATGTTCAGTCTGGAGAAGAGGAGGTTGAGGAGGGACATGATTAAGTATCCAAAGGGCTGTCACTTAGAGGAGGTCAGGGAGCTGGTCCTGTTGGCAGCAGAGTATAGGTCTCACAATAATGGGTTTAAATTAAGGGTGGGAAGTTACCAGCTGGATATTAGGAAAAACTTTTTTACTGTAAGAGTTGTTCAAGCATGGAATCAGCTACCGTGAGCTCCCCCTCACTGGAAGTCTTTAAGCAGTGGCTGGAGAAACACTTGTCAGAGATGCTCTAGGCTAATGCTGCATTGAGCAGGGGGTTGGACTAGATAGCCTGTAGGGCCCCTTCCAACTCTGTGATTCTATGAGAATTCAGTCTGATTTCAGCCCTAGCAGAGAAGAGTCGAGTACTGCAGTTTTGGAGTTCAGCCCTGCCTGAGAGCAGTTTAACACAGACAGGAGAAGTGGGGGAAAGTTGGCAAGGAAGTTTGGGAAGTAGGTGAGGACTGCCATTTGGGCCTCAGAAATTTTACCCCTAATTTCACCCAACCTTTCTCCTCTATGTTCAATAAAATGTTTTGTCACTTTGTAATATAAAAACGTCTTAAGTGCCATTTATTATCATCACCATCATGTACTACTACTATTACAACAACTTTTAGGCCACCCTCCCCAGAAAAACAGGGCTCAGGGCAGCATACAACAGTGGTAAAATTACAAATCTTACAAAGGTTTCAGAATTACTGTTACCGTACAATTTCAGCAGCCTGAACCAATCTGATGGTGGTATTCCTGGAATGTCATTGCCTCATAGAGGAGGAAGGAGGGGAAAAGAGAGGAAGACAGTCACTGTCCTCAGCCAAACATCTGGCAGAACATCTCTGCCTTACATGCCCTGCAGAACAGTAATAAGTCCCACAGGGCATGGATGTTATTTGGCATAAAATTCCACCAGGTGGGAGCCCAGGCAGAAAAAGCCCTGGCCCTGGTTGAAGACAGCTGGATGTCTCTCAGACTGGGGACTATGAGGAAGTTCTTGTCTCCTGAGTTTAGAGCTCTTCTGGGGGTATACCAGGAGAGGCAGTCCCGAAGATATGTAGGTCCCAGCTCATTAAGGGCTTTAAAATGTAACACCAGAACCTTGAACCTGATCCGGTACTCCACTGGAAGCCAGTGCAGCTCACACAGCACAGGTTGGATATGTACCATAAGGGGTCCCAGTAAGGACCTGCGTGGCCAGGATCAGCTGGAGTTTCCGTGTCAGCCTCAAGGGCAGCCCTACATAGAATGAGTTAAAGTAGTCTATCCTGAAGGTGACCATTGCATGGATTACCATGCTAGTTAGGATGAGACAGGTAGGGGGGTCAGTTGCCTGACTTGGCTCAGCTGAAAAAATGCCAGTCTGACAACATTTGTGATCTGGGCCTCAGGCATCCAGAATCACACCTAGACTCTTGGTAGTTGCTGCCAGTGATAAGGACATACCATCAAGAGCTGGGAGCTGGCTTTCTAAACCTGTATCCCAACCACAGAACCTCTGTCTTATCAGAGTTCAATCTCAACCAACTCTGCTTTAACCATTTCACCATGGCCTCCAAACCCTCAGCCAGATTTTCAGGAGCAGTATCTGACCAGCCACCCATCAATACAGATAGCTGGGTGTCATCAGCATACTGGTGATATCCCAGTCTGAAACTCTGCACCACTTGGGCGATGGGGCACATGTAGATGTTAAATAACATCAGGGAGAGGATTGTCCCCTGAGGAACCCCAACCATGGAGAAATGAGGTAAGCCATTGTAAGGCTACCCCACAATCTCCTATGTCGACAAAGTGGTGGTCAAAAGATTGTGATCAACTGTGTTGAACACTGCTGTAAGATCAAACAATAATAGTGCCGACCCGCCTTGATCCACCTGCCTGCAGAGATTGTCTGTGAGGGCAACCAAAGCCCTCTGTGTGTTGTGGCTGGGGTGGAAACTGGAGTGAAATGGATCCAATGCTGATGTGTCATCCAGGAAATTCTGGAGCTGTTTCGCTGCTGCTCTCTCAGTCACCTTGCCCAGAAATGAAAGATTCAAGAGTTGGGAGGATCTGTGGGATTCAAAGTTGGTTTTTTCCAAAAGCAGCACAGCCACAGCCTCTTTCAGTCCCTCTGGACAGACCTCTGAACTCAGGGATGAGTTCCCTCCCAGTCCTTCCCTGAGGTTCCTGGGCTGATCAAATAGCCAAAATATTATACTGTGACAAGGTGAGACAGCCAGAGTTCTTCAGAAAAGAAGAAAACACATTACTAGGGTGGCTCAGTCAGACAGGGAAAGGAAAATGGAGGGAAAATCTTGCATCTGAGGGAGGGAAGTTGGACGGGGACATCATAATAATACTTCTAAAAATGTGATACCTTTGGTCAAAGGGTTTTTTTTCTAACTTATTTTTATAATCAGTCTTACTAGTACTGGCACAGCTGCCATTGTTTTGTACCTTTACCTTTTAAGTGTTGCTCTACTCATTTGCTCAACAATAAGATTATAAATAAAGAAGGAAGGAAGAGAAATATGATATTACTATGCATGTAAAGCAGATTATGAGACTTTAAATCAAAACAAACATACTGACTTAATGGTCTTCCTTGTCTTTCAGGTATACAAAAAGAAAACTGAAGCTGCTAAGAAGGAATATCTGAAGCAGCTAGCCGCTTACAGGGCAAGCCTTGTATCCAAGGTAACCCATGATATATATTTTGTGACAGACTATAGCTGTTCTGGCCATTTTTTATTGTTCAGCTTTGTAATGTGAAGATAATTGTTGTTGACTTGAAATTCTGAGGTTAATTCTGTGAATTGCTTCACAATTCATACAGCTGTTCTTTAATCTCTAGACACTTAGTCTATCCCCTTTACCTTGTAATCTTTCCACAGATTAGAAATATAAACAGTTATACAAGTGAAAGATAAAATAGTCACAGTTGACAAATCCATGTCTGCCAATGGACAGTGCAACTAATGCTCAGTAGCTGGTTCTTAGCATTCTGTTTTCACCGGTGCCTCATGCTCATCACTATGACATGTTGATTTGCCTTTTTTACATGTGACAAACTGAGTATTGGGACAAAATGCAACCTATATAGCTTAGTGTCATTCATATGAAATAATAGTGAACAGCCAACTAGAATTCAGGATGTTGACTTATTGAGAGATTTGGTAGGCTCATATTATCGGATGCATGAATTAACAATGGTGTGCACATAACTGAACAAAG